GTTGCTGTTTTTGTTGTTGCTGTTTTTGTTGTTGATGTTTTTGTAGTTGCTGTTTTTGTTGTTGCTGTTTTTTGTTGTTGCTGTTTTTGTTGTTGCTGTTTTTGTTGTTGCTGTTTTTGTTGTTGATGTTTTGTTTTTGTTTGTTTGTTGTTGTTGTTGTTTTGCTGCTGCTGCTGCTGATATCCTCGTGAGTAAAATACCTTCTGCTCTTCTCAAATAAATAGATTCGGTGCTTGTATAACACGACAAGCTGATCTATGAAATATGGCTTTTGTGTCTTTTGTCTGATTTGCCGAATCGACATTAATTTTGCTTATTTTATAGTAGGCTCAGTTGCCAGAACTTTCACTAAAACTTAAAACGTTAGAAATAAAGTCAGCTGCAAGACTGCTGCGTCATAAATCCAAATTATGTTGGCAAGCGTTTAAAATTATCTAACCCCTGAAAATGATCTTTTACTGGACAAAAAGAAAAGGTCATTCTTTGAACAAAAGTGATTAGATTCTATATGTTCCCTTTTCTTACCTTTTGTTTTGAACGATTGGAAATTGAATTTCGAAAAACTATTCTTGAGTACGTGGCACATACCGGTAATGAGACTTACTGCAAGAAAAAAAAAACTTTTTTGGACCCCCCCCTCCTCTTGTATAAGTAAAATGTCCTCCTATAGGTCCTATAGGGCAAGGTGGGTCTGATTACTAAGACCGCGCAATAATGTAACTGTCTCTTTAACCGTTTACACCCACATCTGTTGAGGTGCTGTTATGTGCTTCACCATTGCACTTTGAAGTCTGAAGACCCGAGCTTGATTCCCGAGAGCGGAGAATTTTTACTGAATATCCCTGACTCTCTTTTGAGGTGTTCTATCGCTCTCACCCCGCCCTGGTTGCCTTGGGAACAGCAGCCCCCCTGAATAATCTAAATTCTGTCAAGTGAGGCGTAAAACATATATAATAGAATAGAATATTAACTGGTGTCAACGGTGAGACGGTTAGGCGCTTGGCTGTCGCCGGAGGTTCCCGAATTCCATTCCCGAATGGGGAGAAATAAAATGTTTATTGAGAAATCGTTTGGTCTTTCTCTTGGGATGTTGTATCCCTCTCAGCCCAGGTCTTTCTGCTGGGATGTTGTATTCCTCTCAGGTTGGGTTTTTCTTCTGGGGTGTTGTATCCCTCTCAGTCCGTGTTGGCCTTGACAGGCCGAGTCGCAGTCTGCCTCCTAAACAGGGGCGAAGGCTGACTTGTTTGACAGGGTAATCAAAGTGAGATGGCACCAGAGAGGGCCTGGGGATACTCACACAAGACACAAGAATCTTACTGGCACTGGAGGCGGCAACTCTGAGTTGTGAATGAAAACAAATCCTGAATTCATGTTGTATGCATATTCAACCGCTAAAATAATCGGGAAAGTATTTCATTAAATATTCTAACAAACCTTAAATTTAACTTTAGATTTGAACACACGAACACCAAGGAAAGAAGCAGAGATGTCAGTACTACAATGGCCTGTTATACCACACAGCCGAAACATTTCGGTAGAGCATGCCAATTATTAATTTTTTATTCACATTTGGCTGTTTTTGTGTAGCTTTTTGCAGCCAGGAGCCGGTGTAAAAATCGAGGTCACGATCTGATTATAGGACGTTACAAAGTCGAGGGGAAAAAACAAGCACTTGCAGCAGTCAAGATATTATTAGGAGTTAGTTCCCCCCACATCTGTGAGGTAGACTCGACCAGTGTAATAGCTTACATAATCAGCGCGTGTGGCTACTTATAACTGTGGCTCGAAAGGGGTGAACAGAGTATATGCGGCAATGAAACAGTTTTGACTGCTATGCACATGTTCCCT